GTATCAGTCAGTGCTTTGGTTTCTTAATGTGAAGTAGCTGGAGCTTTGATTAGCGGAACTGTATGTGACTTCAGTGTGGAACAGAGCATCTCTAGAACTTGCTACTGCCCTAACTGGGTTTTGTTATTCGGTCTCCAAGAGCCGAGGTGTGGATGTGAAGTAGCTGGAGCTTTGGTTAGCGGAACTGCATGCGACTTCAGTGTGGAACAGAGCGTCTCTAGAACTTGCTACTGCCCTAACTGGGTTTTGTTATTCGGTCTCCAAGAGCCGAGGTGTGTACGTTCTTAGGCAACCAAAGGATTGGGAAAATGGAACTTCTGGGACAATTGAAATAACAGAAGTGCATCAGTACCTCTGCATCAAATGTCTTCAAATATGAAGCACATATTGTGTTTCGATGCACATGCTTCCTTGCAGACTGACAGAACCTGTTTATGATTAATAATATGGTAAAATCTGGCAGTTGTTGTGTGTGGTTTTACATCCAGTTTGCACCCAGCCTGCAAACCAACACCAGTTCTGCTGACTGGGTGACTTGTCAACTAGGTTAAGTTGCTTTGGAGATCGCAGAGTAAACCAGCATGGTAAACATTGCCTGTGTTTGTCAGTCAAGGCTGTAGTTGTGCATCAAAATAAGCCATTTCAGAAGTGGTCCTTCAGCCCCAACACCCTTCACATCAACAGGGAGCGTGTGTCCCCTCGTCAGGGCTCTGCAGCTCATGAGGCAAACATTGAAGGGCTGCCAGGGTTCGCAAGCAGCACCTCATCATTGCCCTAACGTCACTCTAGGGTCTTTGGACTGGATTGGCTTGGATCCATTCAGCTGAAAGCACGGATGGAGCAAGATATTGGTGCTTTTGTTTCTGTGTGGGCATATTCCAGCCAAACTGGAGAAGTAAGGGTGGTTACCAGCAAAAGGAGCTAATGACTGCAGTCTTCAAACTTAGCAAGACGAAGAAGCAGACACCCTTAGCCCCTTATGGCTCTTGTGCACACTGTCAGTGCTTGAGGTCGGTGACAGCTCCGAGCTCTCGGGAGTACTGTTGTTGCTCCCCTTGATTCAGTGTAGCTCCACCACAGCACGTTAACTTTGAGCGTGTGCATTCCCTGTAGACATCAGGATGCTGGAAACCTTGCTTTTTGCTGTCAAGTAATGCAGTTACTTACCCCTCTTTCATCACCATCTGTCACAGTGAGAACAACTGCGTCGTCTTGGATAAATTCCATACTGGTTCATAAATGGCTAGAACACTAGCTGAAGGTTTGTGAGTGGAAACCTGGGGCTGAGCAGCAGTAAGTTAAAAGGATATAGGTGTGCTGCTTTGGCAGTGCCACTGGGCACTGGCTCCTCTGCTCAGGCGAAGCATAAAACCGGTGTAAACATAAAAGGTGGCTGGTGGGGAAAGGAATGTAGTAGTCAGAAGTACGTCACAAGTACACACCTTGCTGTTCTGCTTTTATTTTGGGCAAAAGAGATTCTGATGTTAGAGCTCCCTGTGTACTGAAACCCCCTTTTCAGCCTGCCCTAGTCATAAAGCATCAAGTCGCTGCAGCAGGAAAAAAAAAAGAGGCAGATGCGTTAGTTCCGAAATCAGGTCCTCGAGAAGAAGGATGCTGTGATGAACTCAAACTACACGTGAAGACAGCCTTTACAGCCCTTAAGTATTTTGTCCCAGGCATCTTTTGTCAAAACTTCATGAAACTTTGACTGATTCGTTGTTTATTTTTACTTCACGTTAAAGATTTGTTGACCAGTTTTCCCTGTGTGTGAAGACTCTCCCAAAGTATCAGGTTTGGAAACGGATCTGAGAATTCTCTTTTGTAAACGCTTAGTGCCATCACCGTAGTGGTACTGGTAGTCCTCAGCGGGACAGCTGCAGTGTTACTGCACTAGTTAAACCATATATATGCTGTCTATAGTAGATAATCAAAAGCAGTATTCTTAAACCCAATTTTCTTTTAATCTGGAAGTGCAGTACCACTTTTACAAACTGGCGTGGGATCCGTATTTAAATGCAGTGTGTGTGTATAGACACACACTGTATTCTAGTGTGGAAAAGACTAAATGCTGTTTTTTCACACTCGGTGTGTTGCATATGGAACATCATTTTTTTTCCTGTTCTTTTCCAGTTTAGGTCTCATATCAGATTCTTTTCATATGTTTTTTGACTGTACTGCCCTGTTGGCTGGGTTAGCAGCTTCAGTTATTTCCAAATGGAGATCCAACGATGCTTTCTCATATGGGTAAGAAACTTTCGGCTGTTACTTTAATGGATTTTAGTTAACGTCTAGGTAGTAATTTCTCACTTCGTGAACAAAACCTCCTTATACAGAACATGGAAAAGCTGTGTTGAAAGTGGGGAGGGTGTTTGTAGGGTGAGTTATGAAAACCTGTAGGTTAATATCCCCCTAGAAATAGTAAAAACGTGAAGGCATTGCTTTTGGGGGTGAGGTTATCCCTCCCGAAATCTCCATGGCCACACCAGTGGTAACCAGTCTTGGAGCAGGAGGGCAGCTCCACCGCAGGGCAATGAGGTGGGTCACGGGGAGCCTCAGGCAGCTGCGGGACAGAAGTTACAGCTGACAAGAGCCAGGTCTCCGGGGTGCTGCACCTCAGCTTGCAGACCTTGTTCTTGGGACCAGCAGGATTCACCTGCTGTGGCTGCCATTGCCACCGACCCTCAGGGTACCTCACCCTGCGCTGCCCTTGGTGGCTGCAGCCGGTCCTGTCCCAGGGCGCTGGGTTCCACTGCATGTTGCCGTTGTGCCCTGGTGATATGGTATTTATTAATTGGCTGAATTAACAGCAAACGAGCTGTAACGTGGGCTGCTGCATTCCCCGTGGCACTGCTGACCTAAACGTAAGCATTTAGCTTCTCTTGCCGAAGCGTGGATCATGTCATTTGAAGCTTAAAGCACTGTTTAATTAAGGTGGAAACCCTGGTGTGCCAGAAATCCATTTAGGAAGAATTGATTGTACCAAGAACTAATTGCAAAGAGAGCAGGTTCTGTATTAATTACTGCTCTGCATTTAGACAGCTGCTGTTCTGTTCACTAGAGCAGCCACAGTTGTTCGAGTCTGATGCTTGCTATGCTGGGATTGCAGGTGATTCTAACCTGGCTGGTTTTTATCAGGAAAATTCAGTAGCTGAAATAATTAATTTGTACTTAAAACTCTGAGTAAAAGTCCCCCTGCTGGAGGGGGAGCAGATGAATGTTTGGCTGTTTGATACTAACCGGAACTTCACATCGGCAGACTATTTACGTCGTGCGTGCTTATCTGGCTTCGTGGCTTCCAAACGTATGTTCATACCCCCACTTCCAGTAGAGGTGATCGCAGAGGGGAAGGTTTTGATGTACTAAAAACTTTTTCACCTAGATCAGGCAATTTCTGTCAGAATACAGCAGTAAATTGCATATACTTACCTGTAGTCTCTATCCTGCATCTCCATTTAGCAAGTCGCCGTGCAGTACGACGGGTTGAGAAGTAGAAGGTTGTGCTCCCATCTCAGTTCTCAGCATTTCAACAGGGCTGGTAATAGCTGTTCTTGCTTTCTGTTTCTTGCAGGTACGTTCGAGCAGAAGTACTTGCTGGGTTTGTAAATGGTTTATTCCTCATCTTCACAGCATTCTTCATTTTTTCTGAAGGTGTTGAGGTACGTGACGAAGTCAGTTGCGCTATCAGTTGTCACATTTCCGTTTGTAGAGCATGTTTAATGGGGCTAAAACTTGAAATTGGTTATATTTGTAATAGGTTTAAAAATCAGTGATTTGAGCAGAGAATAGGGCCATCTGAAATTGCTGTTCCGTGGCACAGAAACCCAGCTTTTCCAGTGTACCTGCACTAGCTTCTTAGTGTATTTTGATTGTGTGGGGAGATGATGTGAGCTTTACCCTGCCCGTTTTTCAGCCAGTGAAGTATGTCACAGAAACACCTTTACTTCTCATTAGTGAAGGACAAATGAGGCCAAGAAAGGCCAAAACTAGTTCTTTGGAGGAGAGGAGCCAGCCGTCAGGAATGGAAGTATATTCTGTGAAGCTGAACTATTAAAGAGCATTATCTCCCAAATCTTGCGGTCCCATACAAATGACAAGTAGTAATAGCTGCAGCATTTCTGAGGGCACTTTTCTTGATTTATTTTGTTTACCAGATGGTTCAGGTGGTAATTTTAAGATTGAAATTTGAACATCAGGGCTGTCTGCACTGAATTGAGGCCGGATTGAGTAAAGCTGGTAACTGGTTCTGATCAGCTTGCGCTAATGCCTTCCCTTTTGAATGGGAGAGTTTGTCTGTTTTGACTCCTAGTGCAGAACGTGTTCCGGTGGGTTTTTCTTTTATTAGAGAACTGGGAAGAGCTTTCATGAACATAACCTCTACACAGATAAGCCTGTAAATACGTCAAAATCAGTACGAACTGGGCTGAAATTGCCTAAAAGCTTTGGAAAACCTCACTGCAGATCTAGAAACAGCAACAAAACTTACGAGGAAAATGAAAACCTACTACTGGAAAGGTCAGGGGCCCTGGTGAAACATCATTCTTTTTGTGCTGGTCTTGGCTCCCGTGCTGAGCATTCCCTCTGCCTGTGCTGGGGGCTCGTTTTCTGTGTGGGACTGCAGAAGTGCACGTCGCCGGCAGTCTCGTGGCCTCGCTGGTGCCTGTACCCGTCACCCTGGGAGCACGCGGTGACTTTTCCTCTACTGCTGTACTTTCACAGCTTCAGTAATAAAACTTCAACTTCAGACAGCAAGGATTAGCTGGTATCCATCCCAAAACTGCAAGTCCTGAGTAATTTCTAATTATGTCTTTATGGTTTTGCACGAGAATGCTCCTGTATCTAAGCAATTTTTTTCAGTGCCCTTTAATAATGTAAAGAGATTGTAAAACTCTGTCTGTTTTGTTTGTTTGGGTTTTCCGTAGAGAGCACTCGAACCCCCTGACGTGCATCATGAGAGACTCCTTCCTGTTTCTATCCTAGGATTCATCGTAAACCTTATAGGAATATTTGTTTTCCAGCACGGCGGTCACGGGCACTCGCATGGCTCTGGTAGGATGTCTGATTTTCAGTAGTTTCCTTTCTTGGCACCCTGTGGTCCAGGACCTCCTAGTCCTCCAGCGAGAACCCCAGTGTTTAAAATCGAACGTCTCGTAGTGGCAGTCCTGGCCAACTGTATGTGACTGGCGACAGAACTGACACTTCTTTTCTCCCTAGCGCGCCACTGCTGCGCTCTTACGCTAACGTCCGTTAACCGGAGGGCCCAGAGCTCCAGAACCCGCCTTCTGGAACATGTGCTCGGCTGCACCTCACTGCAGAACTGCAGGCTGTCTTTTGGAGCAAACTAAGCTGGGGTCAGGCGAGGTCTTGGCTGGAAAACTTAGAAACCAGTGTCTGAACCACATTTTGAGTATGGGATGGCTCAGCTTCAGGTGCTTCCCAACTTGGTGTCTCTTTGGAATTTATTTGCCTAAATACATATATGGTAAACATTCTGGGTTTTTTCTTTCTGCACAGCTAAGGGGTGTCTCTTTCGGCTTAGCATAAACTGATAGGGACGATTTTCAAATGGCACTAAAGTGTAGTACAACCCATCTCAGAATTGGGAAGGTGTAACAGCACCTGACTTCTCAGATCGGGTCAATACTTTATACGGCTGCCCAGCATAGATTTGGATGACAAACAGCCTGTGTTAGTTTTCTTAACGTAATTAAAGCCGTACCTTAAGATGAACAGGTTTTGAGTAGCTTAGAACCAAAGGTAAGCAAACTTGCCTTCAAGACGGTGATGTTTGTTTCCAGGGCATGAACACAGCCATTCCCTGTTCAACGGTGGTCTGGGCCACGGTCACAGCCACGGGGGCCACGGTCACAGCCATGAACACAAGCATGGCCATGGACACACTCACGGCCACGGCCCTGGCCATGGCCACTCTCATGGGCAGGATTACTGTCATGGTAAGTACCTCATGTCCTTGGCCATCTTCACTCAGTTTAAATTCGCTACTAACAGTTTGCAAAAACGGAAAGAGCGGGTGCTGGCAGCAAGCACCTGTGGAAGTAGTTTCAGTACACGTGTGCTGTGCTGGGCTGCTGCCGTGTTTCGTGGCTCGGTTTGGTCAACACTCTTGCACTGGCAGCAGGTTCAGTGTTAGTTTTTAAAGGTCTTGCTTTACCTACGTTTTTTGAGTGTTCGCTGTAAGGTTACGTGTTAGCTAACATAAACCAGATGTGTGCTCTGCCACTTGGTGAGTAATTTCATTATATAGCTGTGTTTGGGTTTTTATTAAAATCAGTAGGCGGAGTTCAGTTGCCTCCCTGGTATTCGCCATCGGAGTAATTACACAGATCAAGATATTAGCAAAGGTGAACAAGCAGTTTTACTCCTGGGATTGACATGTGGTGCTTGGTTTGTGATCTCAAGCAGAAGATCTTCTGCAGCTGTAATCTGTTTTACAGCTGGTTAGGAAAAACGGCACTTGCTTAAATCTCTCCTACGAAGGCAGGCAGTCTGTGAAGAGCCACCCGTGCCAGGCTGGTCGGCAGCCTTCGCTCTGGAGAAGAGCCACTGTGTGGAACCATGCGCAGGGTTGACGGTCCTTCCTGCCCAAGCCATGATCGGAATCTGCTGTGGCTGAAAACATGCACATCCCAAGCAGGGAATAGTGGGGATGCTTGCAGACGGGAGGTGTCAACGCATAAAAACACTCCCTGGTCCCTTCCTTGCTGGTTTTTGGAAAAAATTGGTGCTTGTTTTCCAAGTGTTCTGGCGTTTGGTTGGAAAGCAGGAGCTCCCCCTCCTGCCTTTGCCTTGCTCTCCCCATGCCCCCACCCCAGTGGGACAGCGGATACAGCTGTTTGGTGCAGTTTGATGCCCAAATCACCGTAAGTTATTTGCTGCCCTTTAACAAGATTTTTTAGTATTTCTGATGGGTTGCGCAGAGGCACTAACCTGTTTGGTCGAGGGGACTGTTTAACTTAGTTCTGCCTTCTCCCAGACTGATAAACGCTTGCTCAAGTACTTCGGGTTAGCAGATTGATTTGACCTTACCCTTCTTGCTTGTGCTTATGGCTGGTGATCTGGAGAGGGGCTTACTTTGCTCAACACTAGGAACGCCGTCTTTCTCAGTCTGTTTTCCATTAAAAACCAAATGTCGTCGTTTTTAGGTGTACTTATATAAAATATACTGTATAAAGTGGTATTGACCTTTTTTAAAGTGTGTTTTAAGACTTTATTGCAAAAAACCCAATAGCTGGAGTAAAAGCTGGTCCCTGTAAGCAGCTTGTCTGTCCAAGAAATTCCCGAAAGGGAGACCGTAACGGAATCACCCACCGGAGAGCGTTTGGGTAGGTTAATCTGCCAATAACTCTCTTCACAGATGACCATTCTCTCGACGGGATGGCTGGATCCAGCAAACAGATTCTGCAAGGTATGGTGACAGTGAGTCTCGTGGTTTATCGGTTGCTGTTACAGTTGCTTTAGGCAGGACAGTAATTCCCTCTAAACGGCTTGGAAGAGCACTGGAGTCCATGGCCTCCTGTGCATTGCCATAAATGAGTTACTGATCACTCAGATGTCAGTTTTGAGCTTTGATTCATCATTTTTAATTGTCCAAAAGTTAGAGGGAGACCATTACATAATGTATGAGGTGGTCATTATTCAGCATACCCAGGTGTGCCTACTGTGTTCTCTCACCGGGCGATGTTCTGGCTCGTTTGTTGTCCTGGAAAAGGCATGTCTTCAACCTCTACCAGAGTCCGTGGGACACTACTACGTGTGTGTGTACTTGGTACTTCAGATGATCTCCAAAAGTCAGCCTCTTCATGACTTCATCCCTCGGGTTTATCATGTTACTGTAATTTCTCAGTACCGGGGGGTTGCCTCTGGCCGGCAGCTGAGCACCTTGCAGCTGCTGGCTCACTTCTGCAGTGGGACAGGGAAAAGCAGTATCACAGTGGAAGTGAGAACTGCTCTGGGCTTGAAACCAAGACAGGTTATGAAGTGAAGGGCAGGGGAGAACCCAGTAAAACAGACGGTGGCTCAGCACCTCCCAGCAGCCTATCAGTGCGCAGGAAGCCTTCGTGCGTGTGCCCGGTGCAGTCACAGAGCTGACCGCAGCATCCCAGGGTGCCGTGAAACAAATGACATCCGTCCCAGCTGGGCCCCTGCAAAGGTAGGCTTGGAAAACGTCACTACCGATTTGTAGTTAGCTGTCTGCTGGTTTTGTGAGGAGGGGTTATCCGCCTCTGAGAATTGTATTCCAGGAGGTGTTTCAGGATGACTGTTCCCGTCACTGCCAGCAGAGAGCTCCAGAGGCTGAAGTTTAGCTGCCGGCACAGTGCTGGTTCCTCTGTCTATTACGACACTGTGTTACTCCTCAAAATCAGAGCGGGGTGCCTCGTGCCTGCAGTGTTGTGCGGTTCTCAAACTGTTTGTCTTTGCTTCCTTTGCAAAGAACTTGTACAGCGCATTGTCGGTGCACCGTGAGCATCTCTGAGCTCTACAGAGCTGTGCTGGTCACGCTTTCCGTCCCGCACAGCACTTACTGGGGGCATCAGGGGTTTCTGTATGGCGTTGTGGGTGGGTGTCGGAGGAAGACAGTCCAGCTACATGTGCTAATTGCTGGACAGGAACTGTCAGGTTGCTGGCTATGCCAGGGAACACCCTCAGTGCTAAGTGCAGGAAACGGTGTCAGTTCTTCAATGCTCTGTGTTCTACACGTGTGTTCAAACCCTGTGATGGCTTTCGGTGAGTTTGACCAGAAACCGAGCACGGGCTTAACAAGCACAAACGCTGATACCTTGTCCTGGCAACTGTCCTCTGTCAACTGTGTTCACAATACTCCGTTACCTTTAAGAAGAGCGAGTTGTGATGGTACCGACTGATCTCTTCCAGGTGTGTTTCTGCACATCGTCGCAGACACGCTGGGAAGCATCGGTGTCATCGTGTCTGCTGTACTGATGCAGAACTATGGGCTAATGATAGCAGACCCCATTTGCTCCATGCTGATAGCTTTGCTCATAGGTGTAAGGTAAGCACTGCTCTCACGGATGCTTGGGGGTGGGTTTGGTGGTAGTTACAATCGGAATTACCGCTCAGAAGAAAAGGTTTGTCTGTTGGCCTAATAACCTGGGACATTTGCTTTTCTTCCAAGAGTGCTGTTACTCCCGTTCTGCGCTGCAGTTCTGCTGTGCTCGTGTGCGAGCTATCTTTCTCTGCCTTTCCTACAGCTTTTGCTCCTAAATCTGCATGTCTTACCTCTGTTTGCATAATACTACCAAATGTCTTTGGGGTTCCAGCTGCAGAAAACTTCCCCTCTGTATTTAGTGCGCGCGTGCGCAAACCGATGTACGCCGGCGGACGGAGCAGGGGGGCTGCAGGGAGCTGAGCTGAGCCCGCTGGTGCGGGGTCTGCCCCGGCCTTCACAGATCAGCACTCGTTATCTTTTTATTTATATTTTACCCCCCCAGCATGAACTGTCTTTTCCTTTGTATTCCGACAAATCCTTATTCCATGTAAGATCTGATGGAAACACTTTTGAGTAGTTTTGTGGCCTATCCCGGTTGCTGGTTCCCAAACAGCTGTAAATGTGGGGCTGTTCGGGTCGGAGTGGGCGGGCAGGCGTTTCGCGCGGGGACACGGTGGGGAGGCTGCGGTGCTGGTGCGGGGCAGAGTGCCGCAGCTCCAGCTCTGCCTCTTCGGTGGCAAGTGCCCTCTGGTGACGCCGACCCCGAATACGGCGCGCGTGTGCCCTGCGTGTGGCGGCCTTCGTGGAGCTGCTGCGGCGAGTCTCCCCGTTCAGCAGAGTGGGGCAACGCGTTTCAGGCTCTGAATGCCCACAGGAACCTGCGTGCTGCCAGTCGCTCCGCATTGCTCCCGACATCGCTCGCTGAGGTGACGCACTCCGGTCGAGCTCGTGCAAGCTGCCGCAGAACGTGCTGCCCACATGGTGTGAGCAGGATGGGGGATTCCCCCACGGGGCTTCCCTGACCAGTAAATGCACTTTGAGCTGAGTGGGAGCAGCAGTCAGGCAGCTCTTGCTGGAGCATGGAGAGCTGGGATTGGGCTCTTCCCTCGGGCAGCCTGTGTGCGCGGCCCCCAGTCGAGTCTGTGGCTGGGGTGGACAGAAACGCTGCTAACACTGTTGCATCTCGTGCTTTACTGTCTCCTTTTGGGGGAAGGAGAACAGCCCACATCACTCTGCTGATATAGAGGGGCGAAGGCACCAGGTCAGATCCTTTCCCAATGTACTTCAGCTTTTACTGCTGTAGGAATTTGTGCTGCCTCCATTTATTTGTCCGTTGAGTGCCGACAAGCAGAGGGCTTGGTCGGTTTTGTTCCTTAGCTGACGGGCTGTGTCCTGTGACCGTTTAAAATCTTGGCATCAGAAATCTATGGCCGGTCCTGAGGGTGAAGCTGGTGTTGGGGCTTGCAGCTCTCCCGTGTTCCTGGATGCTGCCGCCGGTAGCTGACAGATCTGTCTCTGATTACTCTCGATACAGACTCATGCGAGTGTCCATGTGATGGACAAATAGGACACGCTTAAAATAGGTGAGTCTGTCCTGTTAGCGTTTTGTTTGAGTCGTCTGTTTAAAAAAGAGCTTGGCTGTTCCAGAGTTGTTCAGGTTGACACTCCAAGGTGTTTTCCTCATAATTTAATGTGCTTGAACCAAGAAACAATTCCTCAAATCTCTAAACTGCTTTTAATATTTAAAACTAAATGTCCATTTAGTTTTTAGCCTTAGGATTTTAAGCCGTCTCCTGAAATGTTGAAGCAATTTTCATATTCCCACCAGCTATGTGAAGTTAGTCATCACGCAAAAGCCACAACCCCAGGATAAATCACAGTGTTTGTCCGAAACCACGATTAGAGCCACATGTCTCCAAAAGGCACTGGGTCTGTGCCTGCTGCCAGGCTGGAGGGGCCCTGCAGACTGCGCATGAGGTGGCCAGAGGAACGAGGCAGTTTAACTTCAGCCATTCAGAGCAGTTGTTTCCATGGGTGATGTCATTTTTACATCAAGTAATGCCGCCTCAGCTCAAGCTTTGGGGGAGGACATGGCTGCAACATTTGGGGTGTTTGCCTGTAGTGCTGAGGTCATAACCCTGTTAACAACTACTTCTTTAATGAAGTGCTGCATTCACCGAGAGGGAGAGGAGATGTTCTACAGCAAAGCTCCCCAAACCAGCGTGCTCGGCCTTGGCGTTCCGAGCTGCATGCGGCACGCGCTGCCTCCGCTTACAGAGAGACGGTACCTGCCAGCCTCATGTGAGGATCGGGGTGCCGCTTTGATGAGGACAGTTCAAAATGGGACAGTAAATGCTTAACCTGTGCTTCTTGTCTTGCACAAAGCCTGCAGTCTGATTAAAACTGCTGTTGCCTCATGGAGTTCTGCAACAGGCTGGCGGCCGTGGCACTGCCGGTGCGGGTGGTGCCTGCGAAAAGAAGATTTTGAAGCCTGGCTGTAGACTTCCAGCCGTGGTATTTGAAGAACCAGAGCTGGTCTGGAGCCTTAGCAGTGTGTGTTTGTCTCCCACAAGATGTGTCACAAGAATCCTCTGCTCTCGGTAGTGCTGGGAGGAACGATGAGTTCCCTGGCTGTGTAAAGGGCTCTTCACCGGGAGCTGTGTTCAGCCTTGCTCTGCAGCTGCGGCTGCAGACACAGGGGCATCAGGGGCATCAAGAGGCCAGGACGGGAATGGGTCTGCCCGAGCCTGCTGCTCTCGCTCCTCGTTAACCATTTGTAGCAGCAGCAGCAGCTGGGCTTGCACGTTCACGGCTTCCACCTCTGTGAACACCTTCGCCCCCTCTCAGGGGGCATGAAGGCACGACACGTTGCGGGCTCGTTTGGCACGTGTTGGCTGCTCTGGCTTCCGTAGGGGATGTGCTTGTGTCCCGTGTCTGGCTGCGGTCAGATCCCGCTGCCTTGTGCAGGAGCATATGTTTGACATTCAGGGACCGTGGGGAAACGGTGGCTGCTTCAGCAGCAGCACTCAGACTGCTTATGCACCAAAAACTGCTTGCAGAGGATTCAGCACTATTTATTTACCTCTGTAATCCTTCTGTAAATAAAGAAAAGGGGGAAGTACCAGTGCAGTAGTTGCTGCAGAGACAACCACATGTATTTTGCACTCATGACTAAGCCAAGAAAAAGGAAAGCTCGGTCAACTTCTCTAACCACGCTTTTGGCCTGCTTGGTGTCATCTTCCCTAGCGTCTTCTTCAGTCACAAGAGATGGAACTGGTGTTTCGGCTGCCTCCTGGCGATTAGGTCATTCTGCTTCTCTGGTCGGTGTTTGAGAAAAGAGCATGCTGTGCGGAGTCCTGGGTTTTAATTAAAGGCTTTGGGCTTCAGTAGGATGCATGAAACAACGGAAAGCCTGAGACACGAGAAAACCAGGTGCTGTAGTTTGTCACGTTAGTCTGCTTACAGCAAGAGATGATGACACAGGACAGTTGGCAGCATCCCTCTTCGCGGTGCGTCCTGTCAAAAGGCACCTCCATTCCTTTAGCCTTTTCCCTGGGAAAAAATGCACAGCCCGTACATGTGTGTCCTGAAGCCTCTGGATGTGGGTTAGAGGGGCCTTGTTAAATTTAGGAGGGTGAGGTCAGCGTTCAAAACGCCTGTATTCTGTTTGTGCCTGAACTTTTGTGTTGGTGTCTCGAGTTTGTCTTAAGAAGCAAACCTGGGTTTAAGCAGAGTTAAACTGAACCCAGTTCAGCAGTGGAGTGTTTTGGCAGCTCCAGGTCCCTTTGGAGCGCTTGTGACACAGACATTATTCCATTGATAAGAGAACCTTTTTCCCTAAACCTGTGTAATCCAGTGTCCATAGAACCTGACACTCCAGTGTTTTTGGGATGCCTCTTACCCGTCTCTCTGTACTCCAGCTGTGAAGCCAGCGCTGAACGCTGAAATTCAGCGTGCAGGTCCTGCACTACACCATCACTTGTGGTCCAGAGCATCGGTGACCTACGTGCTCTCGAGATCAGATTGCTCTCTAAGTTTTAGTTGGGTCATCCTCCTGAAACTTTTAGGAGGCTCTGCTGAGTGCTACACCATGTGCTGCTCCCGAAGAAAGAACTCAGCATGCTGAGTACTGAGGAGTGTGAATGTTCAGGGGTGGCTTCAGGGAAGGGCTGGCCAGTCTCCTGGGCTCATTAAAAACAAGTAATAATAATAAAAAGGGGTGTTAAGTGTCGTCTTAGTTGACTGATGAAACAAGACCATTTGGCTGGGAGGGATTACCCTAAAACCTCTGATTGCTTCCAGATGTTTAATCCTTGAGCTCAGGTGAGACGCTACACTTAGTTCCCTTCAGGAATACACTACATTGTCTGTTTCTGACGAAATGACTGTGTTGGAGCTGGGCTGGCCCATGCTCCTTTTGTTCCCCGACCTCCCTGCTGTCACCGTCGTTGGCAAGCAAAGCATGCCCTACGCTGCAGACAGCGGGGCCCGCAGCTGCGCGCGGTGCTGGTTGTGAGGGGTGGCCGTTGCCGTGGGGGTTGGCTCTGGGCTACACCAGCTGCTTTGCCAGGAAACTTCTCACCTCAAATCCCATGGTTATTGATCTGCTGGGACTGCCCCCCAGTTGTCTCTGTGGGACATCGGGGGAGAAGTGATCGTGCCTTCAGTAAGGCGCCACAGCCGTTTTGTCCGTCCCTTTATCCTCCGTACCGGGGTGGCGTGGCAGCGCGCTGGGCTCGGGCAGAACGGCCGAAGGAAAACTCTTCCTGAGCGTTACAGTGTTATGTGGCTCTTTGCCCTGCAGCTCTGAAAGTGTTACTGTAGCTGACGTACCTTTCTCTTTCCAGCATTGTTCCACTTCTGAAAGAATCCATTGGAATTTTGATGCAGCGAACTCCTCCTTCCCTGGAAAACGCCCTGCCTCAGTGCTACCAGAGGGTGAGCTCGCAGGCTGCTTTGCTGCAGCTGGAGCTGCTGGCGTCAGCCCAGCGGTGTGGGGGAGGGTATTTGGTGGTGTTTTCCCAGGAACCCCCCTGAAAGGTGCCTCAGACTGTACAGATGGAGGTACCGGTTTGCTTCCGACCCTTCCAACATCCTGAATCGTGTGTAGCCTCAGGCCCGTTTGTGCTTCAAAACACGCTGTAATGGTGTAGGAAAAGAGATCCCGAAGCTTCTCCTCTCAGAGCACTTTGTGTACCTGATGTGTCTGTGGTTTGTGCAGTTTTTGTCTCCCTCAAGAACTAGTTCTTAGTAAAGGGAGGTGGGAAGTGTATTTACCAGAATACACCGATGACGGGATCCGGCCTCTCCTGGTGCTCCTGGTTAACTCACGTGGCTGTGTCACGGCCTGAGCGCTGCGGCGCCGTCGCACAGTTACGCAGAGCGCTCGGGGGAGCGTCGCCTTTCCTGGGGCAGTTACAGGGTCGGACTCATCCTGCGGAGGGTTTGCTGAAACGGGACGGGAAAAGAAGGGATTTGACAGGACAAACCTAAGCACTCAAGAATATTTACAGAACTGCTGCTGGATTTCCTGTACAGTGTTTGCATTAGCTGACATGTATTACTGTAGTCCAGTACAGTCGTGTAAATGCAGCAGCCTGTGCTTCCCCTTCCTGGCAATTACTGGGATAGTGCTAGAACTGCAGTGACCCACCGCAGCGAGCCGGAATAAAACAACGCGTCAACCTTTATCTTTCCGTACGTGTCACAGCGCAGGCGAATGTTTTCTGAAACCTGTTTTAAACTGCTCTGTGTCTGCAGGTGCAGCAGTTGCAAGGAGTTTACAGTTTACATGACCCCCATTTCTGGACCCTTTGCACGGATGTTTACATAGGGACTCTGAAATTGCTGGTAGCTCCGGATGCCGACGGAAGGTGGATTCTGAGCCAGACTCACAACATATTCACTCAGGTAAAGAGCCGGGGAAACCACATCTCGGAGCATAAATGGCCTCCACGGTGGGGCCTTGGGATTCTTATCGCAAAGAAGTGAATGTTCCTAGTTTTTGGTGTCTGTGTGGTTTGGAAAACTGCCCCACTCCAGCTGTGTGGGATTTTGAAATACTCGGTGATGCAGACGGAATCACGGTACCTCTGCATCCGTCTGTGGTGCCACGGAACGGAAATGCCAGTGGTGGTTGTCCGAGGGGTATCGCATTAAGTCGAGCCCCTACGCTGGCCTGTGA